ATTGGGTTTACGGATTAACCTCAACTTTCTTCATAATAGCAAAGCAGGTTGTCCTATGTGTGAAGCTAAACGGACACACGCCATTCACGTCACCCTATATGTCTTGTCCACGTGTGAGCTTGAAAATTCGTCATACATGAGTGAGCGTATGAGGATGCGAAGGTTCAAGAGTCCCACATTGGTGAAAAAAAAAAAAAAAAAAAAAAAACCCTTATAAGGACTTATAAATAAATAAAGCTATTTTTCATAATATCAATTAATTTTGGGAATTGTTGTTAGCACTCTAAAAATATCATTCTACACTCCTCACAAATATATTTATCCTTCTAATTATAAAAAATTTAGAATGCAAAATAAAAATTTGAAAATACCAATAATAATTTTCTTAATTTTATAGCGTAATATCAAATTTTTTCGTAGTTATCTTTCACCAAAACAAGAATATATTGTCTCTTCTGGTTAAAAAAAAAAAATCAAGTTTTTATTTTTGGTCAATGATTCATTAAAGCCTAAGGCTAATAATTTGGTCAGTAATGATGACCGGTGGACTTTTGCCCTTAAGTTCTGATCGATCCCACGTTATTGTGCAGTAGATCAACCCCACATTCTCTACGGAATACGCACATGCATTATGTTCTCCTCCTCCTTCCAGTCCCACAAGCTGATTTGATACTCAAAATCGTTCATGTCCGTCGAGTTGATTTGATAATTGAAATCGTTCATGTCCCGCAAGCTGATTGGATAATCGAAATCGTTCATGTTCAAATAAGTTTTTAAGATTATTTTTGCCAAACAAAAACTCATTCTTGATATGAATTTATTTGTTTCATATATGTGTGTGTGAATCTTCAGATTTTATTTCACTGGACATCAAGACTTCAAGGATAGTATTATCTATTAACTTTGAGGTTTTTTCATATTTCTAGTGGACTGTACAACTTGTGTTCTTTCAAGAATCAAATTGTTTATTTTTCCCTTGGCTTCGTTACATCAAAATATTAATGTTATTCTGTGTTATTAACTATAACCTTACCATTATAGTGTAAACAATTATATAGTAAATTTTGACTATTATACTGTAACCTTAAGCTCATCTCTAGTCATGGAGAGCTAAATGAAGACTTGGTTCCGGTTCCTAATTAGCCTAATTGTTAGACTGAAATCTTATTTGTTTAAATACTTTGATTGAGGTATTTAGCATCATTTAAGAGGTTTAACTCATGCATTTATGCATTTAATGTCCCACAAATTATGAAATTTGAACAAATTCAAATAATATTTTTAAAATATAATGAATACTTAAAAATCAATAAGTAAAGTAATATTGTTCTTCACAAAATTATAGCAAAAAAATAGTGTACCCATATTGTGACATCCCACATCGCCCAGGGGAGTGATCCTTATATGTATATTCTCATCCCTACCTAGCACGAGGCCTTTTGGGAGCTCACTGGCTTCGGGTTCCGTTGGAACTTCGAAGTTAAGCGAGTAGTGCGCGAGAGTACTCCCAGGATGGGTGACCCATTGGGAAGTTCTCGTGTGAGTTCCCAGAAACAAAACCGTGAGGGCGTGGTCGAGCCCAAAGCGAACAATATTGTGCTACGGTGATGGAGCGGGCCCGGGAAGTGATCCCCACGGGCTGGGATGTGGCAATTTGGTATCAGAGCCTAACCCTGGTCGTGGTGTGCCAACGAGGACGTCGGGCCCCTAAGGGGGGTGGATTGTGACATCCCACATCGCCCAGGGGAGTGATCCTTATATGTATATTCTCATCCGTACCTAGCACGAGGCCTTTTGGGAGCTCACTGGTTTCGGGTTCCGTTGGAACTCCGAAGTTAAACGAGTAGTGCGCAAGAGCACTCCTAGGATGGGTGACCCATTGGGAAGTTCTCGTGTGAGTTCCCAAAAACAAAACCGTGAGGGCGTGGTCGGGGTCCAAAGTGGACAATATCGTGCTACGATGGTGGAGCGGGCTCGGGAAGTGGTCCCCCCGGGCGGGGATGTGACACATATAATTAGCATGGGTACATTTAGCAAAATTAAAAATGGGTACAAATACAAATAAAATTTTAAAAAATATGGGTACAAAAAAAAATTAATATATGGGTACAAATTAAAACTAAAAAGAAAATTGATACAAATAAAAAAAGGGTTGCAAATTAAAAATGGGTACCAACTAAAAATGAAAATATATAATTAAAAATTTAGCCATAAATATCAATATACCTATATAACATTTCTAACAATAATGAATATATTTAGAAATACAAAATATTTTTTTATTGAAATAATTAATGACGTTTATTAAAACTTAAGAACCTTGATCAAAAATTAAAAAGAAATAATATTTTAATTAATAGAGCAACAAAGAAAGTGATGAGAGCCTAATTTCTCGAATAATAATTTAGAGTTAAATTTTTCATTCTCCAAAACATTTTCATATTGGCTTGAGATGTACATGTTGGGCCTACCAAGGGGCTTGCTATATGTAATCACCCCTTATCAAAAGTTAGCCATGTTTCTTTTTAAGAGATTTATATTATCTCTCAGCTAAAGATGGATGCAAATTCAAACTAAACAATTATTATGTGATGTTAAACAATAAACTTTGGCGATTATAACATAATCTTATTAAAATGAGGGTACTAGAACTGTCATAACGGGAGTGGGTTAAAGCACTCCATGATAGATCTATTCCCAATCAATTTGGATGTAAATAAATTTACTATTTATCTCCGAGCTAATACATGTATAATATAATACAAAATAAAATGATGAGGCAAATTCTCACACATGGCACAATCGTAGGGTGTGGACCGTGCGGTGCTGTGCTGGTTGATGCAGTAGAAGGAAAAATAAAAACAAAAGTACTTTGGCTTCTAGTTAAGGAAAGAAAAACATAAGTACTGGAAAGAAAATAATTTTTCCATGTACAGGTGGGTTATACTGTATACAGAAAGAAAAACAAAAGTACTTTGGCTAGGTATTGAAAATTCAAGTCCTCCTCTCATTGCCAATCTGGGAAGTTCTTTGAGTTCTCTATTTTGCTACTTTGAGCGATTGAGATGCCCTCTCTGCACGACTAGCAGCTTGGCAGCAGGCACTCAGAGAGCAGGTGGAGTTCCTTTATGCTCTTGGGCCTCCTCTCTGAGAGAATCTCTGGAAAAATGATAACATTCCTGTGTACATTATGCGTCCATTCAACACAGTATATTTCCATTTCAAAATTTGTATTACCCTAAATGCCAAAGATGAGAGTTTCCCTTATTAGATTGTGAATGTTCAGGAAGAATTCTAGGCATTTTGCTGTTTTTGCTTTATGTTGTTTTATAAAAAAAAAACAGTTATGACTATGCAATGAGATATTTTTCAGTATGGTCGAAACACAAGTACATACACTATTATAAAAATAAAGGGACACTTGAAAAAAAAAAAAAAAAAAAAAACTTCTACCTCCTTATATAATAACATATGACGCACCGCCGCGTATTCCGTATATATTGAAAATTTTCTCATATGCAAGGACCCCAACCATGCAGAATTATATAATGATTTTCTTGCCTATCTAAGGAAAAACATCCCCCTTATTTTTGAAAATAAATATTCAATAATTAGGTTTACAACCAATCAAGAACTAATTCCAAGGAGCCCGATTAATATGTGAGGCACACAAACATACAGGGTCGGATCACACAAAACATAATTATAATATGCATTTTATCAGAGAAAACTCTTGCTTAGAATCTATGTATAATATGTGTATAACATTCATCTAGTTAATTTTAATTGGGATATGGTATTCACACACCTCTTTTTACCTCTCACACATCATTCTCAATTTTTATTGTCTGGCTCGAATGATCATGAATTAAAGAAGATCAAATTATTGAAATTAACAAGAAGCTATATAAGAAGTAACAATGAGTATGTAAATAATATCATCCTTTCAAATTACATTGCGAGTAGAAACAGTATAAATCTCGCATTAATATATAAGATATTGGAGAAAGTTAAGAAAAGTTCCGCTTTTGCTCACCCCTTACGACCCAAAGTCACCGTTTCCGCCCTCGTGTCTCAAATTAATTCAACCCAACAACCAGAACAAAAATAAAAAAAGGATTCTTTGCTTTCTTATTAAATTATTGAACTTAAGTTTAAAGATTATTCTTTGTAGAAATTTTGGTTGTTCGGTTTAATATAAAATAATAAGCGAACCCAATTTGCTCTCCTTCGTTTATCCCGTAGAAATTTAATATTGATTTGGTTGTTAAGTATTTTCGTTTAGTTTTAAACTGGAACCTCGAATAGAGTGATCTCCTGGATCTTTAGACTCCAAAGGGATTAAGGTTCTATGGTTCGGACCTCCCAATTTCAACCAGTCGTTCGGAAAGATGGTGATTTGTAGTACCATAGCCGCAGCTTTGTCACGGGACACGGCCAATTGGGATAAGAAGAGGGAGAGACAGAGATGATGGGAATTGTTTAACGTCAGTTTCGAAAATAAATGTTATACTAAATGATGTGGCATATGTTAAGTCATTGGATTTTATATCGGACTAGACTAAGTGAAATGCAGAAAAAATTTGGAAAAGCTAAACATAAAGATTTGAAAAAAGCTAAATGTAGAGACTCGTAAAATACAATTAGATTGTAGAGTTGAGCACTTATTTTTTGAGCTCTATACTCTAAATTTTGCAACGGCAAGTCTTCTTAAAAAGAGGTTTATAAACTTAATTTAATTCAGCCGTATATATAAGAATTTTTCTAGAAGCAAACCACTAAAAACTCTTGATGTGACATAGAGAAAGAAGGTGGGAGGTTTGGGACTAATAGCAATGTCTTTTAGATGTCCCTGTTCTAGTATTCCTTTATACTATTATCCATCTCTTCTTCTCTTAAAACTCACTAGAGATCTAAAGTAATTAGCTTGCTGTGTGCTTGAAAACACTATAAATACAACCATACAAGGATTCGACTCCCAAGCAATATAAGGAGTGCTATTAGCTCCTCCTGAATTGACTTATCCATTAATCTTTTCTTTTTACACTCTCTCTTCTCTCTCTCTCTCTCTCTCTCTCTCTCTCTCTTAAAATGAAAAAAGCCTCGGAGCCTCTGGTTGTTGGGAGAGTGATAGGAGATGTTCTTGATTCCTTCACTGCAACAACAAAAATGTCTGTCACTTACAACACCAAGCTAGTCTGCAATGGACTTGAGCTCTTTCCTTCTGTTGTCACAGCCAAACCTAGAGTTGAGATTCAAGGAGGGGATATGAGATCTTTCTTTACTTTGGTATATATAAATCGATCTGTTATTAATGAATTGATTATTTCTTGTTTGGGTTTAACCATCATTACATTACTCCCTAACCCTTACTCTCCCTTATTGGCATATTAATTTGATGTTATTGTTTTGAAGTCTTGTGATAGTTTTCTTAATCTTGCAGGTGATGACAGACCCAGATTTTCCTGGCCCTAGTGATCCTTATCTAAGGGAGCACCTGCACTGGTATACACCACCATTATGAATTTTTTTTTTTTTTTTGGTTTTTTGTTACACATATGAAATTACTTAACCTAGCTTTAAGTGGAAGGTTAACCTAGATACAAATCAATTTAATTTTTTCTATCGAAACAAGTTAATTTGATTAAAAGACAAAATAAACATTATGGGCCAGAGATTTTACGGTACTTTATTGAAAAAATAAAATATCGGTACATTTTAACATACACATGATGTTCAAAATTACACTACAAGGTTAGGTTCAAGTGAATAAAAAAAGAAAGATGTGATTATACTATAACGGTTGGTAGTTACATTGTGGGCGTTCTATTACATTGTTAAGGTAGGTTTTTGTACTTGAACATGATTGAATTACGAAATTAATGTTTATTATTACACTATTGACGTACTATACGTGTGTTATTACTACAAACATTATGAACTTACACAACATCATAATTGTGTTACCACATGACGTCAACATACAAGATCTATGGTAAAGTTTCATTGTAATTGTTCAAATTTACACTCCAAGGTCACATGATTGCCTTAACGTTACATTTAATTACATCAAACTACGTTGTGGACGTTAGATTACATTGTTAATGTAATATATTATGGTTGAACGTTAATGTATTCCAGTTAACGTTCCAATAAAATAACACTAGTACTTTATTTTTTTATTAAGGTATCATAGACGGACCTAAACATTACATAAATTAATTTCAGCATGCTATATATATTCTCATAAAGTACTGTCATTTCCCAAAGCCCTATAAAGTACGTAGGCATTTTCATCAAAAAGAAGAGGAAGAAAAGGTGTAGGCATTTTCATCAAGAAGTAGAAGAAGAAAAACTGTCGACAATATTAGTGTCCTTCTGTACTTGTTAAGTATCAATCATAGTTACAAGCTGTAAAGAGCTATAAAAATGCAAGGAAAAATTGTCGAGTACAAAACTAACAAAAATTACGACTGTAGTCCTTCTGTGCTTGTTATACCTTTGCCGTATTTTTATGCTCGTTTGATTTTTTTTTCATACAAAACTAACAAAAATTTCTCAAATAAACAGGATTGTGACAGACATTCCAGGCACCACAGATGCCACATTTGGTAAGTCCTACATATACAAGATGTGAGCATTCATGGTGTTTGTTTCCCTTTCCTTCAATAAGTTGGCTAATTTAGGATTTAATTAATGGTATTAACAGGAAGAGAGGTGGTGAGTTATGAGATGCCGAAGCCCAATATTGGCATCCACAGGTTTGTGTTTGTTCTCTTCAAGCAGAATCGAAGACAATCAATCAACACACCTTCCTCGAGGGATCACTTCAGCACTCGAAGCTTCGCGGCTGAAAATGACCTGGGTCTTCCTGTCGCTGCCGTCTACTTCAACGCGCAGAGAGAAACTGCAGCTAGAAGACGCTAGCTAGTAGCTCTACCCAGAACTCCTCCATCCATTATCCATATATATGTTAAATAAAGGCTTCTTTATAGATAGGCTATTGTAACTCTTGTTTCCCGATAACCTAAATTTTAACTTGTTATTACAAATTATTTACAATGTATGCCACAATATCTTAATTATGTTAAAAAAAATATTATTACCTAAAATAATTATGAATTTCGTTGAGTATTAATAGGCATGATTTCAGATTTTGTTTTTTCCCTCTGAAATTTTTATTTTTTTTTGAAAAAAAAAAAGGAACATCTGGTGTGGCAAGCCATCCCTTTCGGGGCCATTTTGGAACCGGAAAGGCTATAAGAACTTTCACCCTATCCGTGGCCACAATCAAGCAGACTTCCATCCAACCTTTTTTTTAAGTAATTTAACATTATAAAATCCAAATAATAGGTTTAATTAATATGCTACTCATTAGACCACACAATTACTTATATGATGCATGTAATTAACAAGTATAAACTCCACAAGTTAAGAGAGAGAGGAGATACTCCTGCCGTGTGTGTTTCTGTGATTTTCTTGCTCTCCGATCAGATTTTGTATTGATTTCTGAAGGTTTCAAGTTGCATCTGATCAGATTTTATGGGGTCCTTTTTATCTTTTTTAACTGGAAAGTTATAACGGGGGAGGAGGAACGACCAACCAATTAATATCCCACCACCTGTCTTTTTAGGGTGTTGCCTTCCATTTCAACTGGAAAAGTTCGAGTTCAAATTTGTGTGTAGCAATTAACCTTAACAGCGCAACTCTTTAACCCCAACTCTGTTATATCCTATATACAAAATTATAAAATCATAACTCGTCGACCTATACGGCTCCTCCGAGGACAACATCCAAATGTTGATCGACACCAACGATTCCTACACCCAGTCCACTGGTAAAAATATCCGCCGGGCCATCACCAACGTCATCCAATTTGCCGATTCCGGCGATGTCCTCTTTTGTGACGGCTGTGGAACCCTATTAAGGTATCGGATAGAATAAGGAAGGAAACTGATTGCCAAGTAATCAGAAGATTTTTAAGATTGTTTTGATTTTTTTTTCTTAAGTGAAAATATTGGGATGAATGATTGAGAAAGATGACTTATGGGGAAACCATTTGAAGATTAAGGCCCGAATAATTAGGAGACAATCAATGGAGATAGGCAATTGATCATATTTGAGAACAATAGTGGTGTATATAATTGCATGGTTCAGTGCTTGGACAGAAAAGCTATGTGGAAAGTTGAAGAGAATAGGATCGTTCCATCAGAGGAATAGTAGTGAACAAGAAGAGCCGTGCGCAGAAAGTGAGTGAGAGACCCTTGGTATTATTAATTTATTGTTTTTTTAGGAGATAAAAGAGTTGAATTAGAGGCGTTTAGTGAATGGTTAGGTGTCAAAAAATTAGACGGACCAGAAAAAGGCCACACACCAAAATGAGCACAAACAGGCCCTCTGAGCAAATCACTTTTCCTGTTCCTCACTCATATTTTGCACGTCCAAGAACAGAAATTCGTAGGATTTGACACCAGCCAATGCAGCCAAACCACGTCCAGCTATCATGTCCAATCTTGTAAAAGAAGAGATAGGTACGTAGTTTTCAAAGGGCTAGTGGTAAATTTATGGGAGGGATAAACTACGGTTGGTGATATCTACATAGGGATTCCTACCGTTCGATTTGATGACAAAAATGTTATGTTCATCTGTATAATCATAAAAATTAATTATATCTATAATTACAAATTAATCATTGGAGATTATTTATAACCATACATATCGGATAATGAATTTCTCATCGATTAATGTACGGTTATATTCATCTCCATTAATACCAAAAATATATTCATTCAATTAACTCATTATAATATAATATATATTAATTTCATTAATAAATATCCACGTCCAATCATAAAAACATACCAATGTTTTTTGGAGTTGTTCATGACAAGCCAAAAGTGATAAATTGGTCCAATGAAAAAATAGAGAGAAAAGAATGACAAAAGCAAATACAACAACCACTAATGAAGAAAGACAAAGTAAATTTTCAAATAATTCTAAAACTAGTGACACCAAAACTAGAGCATTGAATTTAAAACATGGATGAGGTTTGATGATCTTTGATCTCTACTATAAACACTATTGAATTCTCATTGGTTTTGATTCAAAACGTTTGAACTTTCTCACAAAATGCAACTATTAATTCTCAAGGGAATAAGTTTGGTGAAAATACGTACATTACACAATACTATATTATATTATCTATAAGTTATATTATATATAATATGTATTATTTGAGTCGGATTTGACGACAGATATGGATCGAGAACCCCTATAACTATATCTGCAACCATAACCAAATAATACTTCCAATTTTTCCCCATATCTGAAATATACCCGAATTTTCATCCCCAAATCCGTTCCATTCGAGCGGTTATCCACGGTTATCAGGTTAATCGGTTTGAATTGTCATCCCTATACACTCTTTATTAATTATGTTTTTTTGTACTTCTTCAATTCTTTCGAGTTGAAAATTAAAAGGAATTTGTAGGAGATAAAAAATGGTATGTAGATAGCACCACCCTAAACTATTTACACATGGGAATGCTAATAATCTTTTCAGTAGGATATTCTTTTTCGGCTCTTGCTTTTATTTTGAAACGATGTTGTCATTGAAATTATCTAATTTGTATTTCACTCTTTAAAGATTAGTTCTACAAAATATCAATCAAATTAGAAACCATGTAACTGTTTGATTAACATTGTTTAAATGAGAATTATGGTTCATCCATATATTGGATAATCGTTAGAAACTAAACGATTTCAAACTTTAGTATTTTATGGCAAGATGATCTTTAAAAGGTGCCTCGAAAAATAAATGGGTTAGATCATCATGCCACATTGAAAAACAAAAAAGAGAACTGAAAAATAGAATGAGAATGTGCAAATAAGAAAGGTTCTAGCATTTTCCTTATATATATTTGGGTTAGGAACCAAGGAAACATGTTTTTGTCACATATTTTGACACTTATTTTGTAGGATCCATTTCATAATATAGATAGTTTGGATTGTTAAAATATATTACGAAGTGGATCCTACAACATATATGTCAAAAACATGTATCCCTGAATCCTAACTGTTTATATGTTACCCTATGCTCTCTCTCTCTCTATCTCTCTCTCTCTTTTTTATGTAATATATTAGAAAATCTTTACATTATGTTTGGATAAGGGAAATAAACTTGGAATTTGGATTAAAGTCTGAATTTATAAATTGACATACACCAATTCCCTTGTTTGGATTCATAAATATAGAAATTTAGAATTTCCACACAGAAAAAAATTTGGAATTTGGGATCTCCAATTCCAAAGTTTAAATTCTATGTAAATAAGTGTTATTTTCCAATTTCTATGATTGAGAGTTTAAAAATAACAAATTCTGTATTTAATTACATTGTTCTTTTAGGTTAATCAAACAAGAAAATTCACAAATTCTAGGAAATAAAATCCGGACGTTTCAATTTTCGTCATTTTAAAATTCCTTAGTAATCTTAAATTTCTTCATCCAAACATAGTGTTAGTTGCACTAGTAGGAAAAACATTTTGCGCAACGTAGGTACCTTTGTCGCGCAAAGTGAAAAATCGTTGCCTAAAAAATAGCACAACGAAACCTTCGTCGCACGCTAAACGTCGCGCGCAAGGCAGTGACAGTAGGGTTTGCGCAACAAAGAAGAAGCATACGTCGCGTAAACCATTTCTTTTTGTTTTGGTCAAAAATATCTTTTTTTTATAATTTTTAATAAATATTGTAATTAAATTATAAGCAATAATGAATTAACCAAGAAAAAGTATTTAATTATAAAATATATGAAAATGTACATACAAAATGTTCGAACAAAAAAGAAAAAACTACAAGTAGTCTTCTAGGTTTGATACATCAGGCTACTGGGTATCAACAAGGCAAGGTGGCTTTGAGGTCGAAGATGGAGCAAGATTAAGTGCTGGTAGCGAGATTTGGAGGTTGGACATCTGTATGGTTTGTACAAGGTCTCTCACCGTCCCGGCATAGGTCATCTTCTCCTCGTCTTAGGCCCTCATCTGCTCGCCCTGGACCGCAAGCTGACCTCTTAGGGTTGTCACTTCCTCCTTCAATGCATCGACCTCTGCTGTGTTCGATTTGGAAGAAGAGGCACCCGTCTCACGAACCCGCGCTTTCCCCATACATCAAATAACCTTGCCATGACGATGACCGAAGTTCTGATTCAGGACATCAGTCATGATCTGAATACATGCATCCTCAGGTACCGTGACACCTTCAATCGGGGTCTCCGGGGAAAGTTGCGATGTTGCTTCTTGGAGAACATAAGTGCTCTTTTCCACCATAGCAACCTGTAATAATAAAGAAAAAACATATAATGTTTAATAACAAAATATAAATAATATTTGAACAATTCATACATATAAGAATAATAAGAATTACATATACTTACATGAAGCTGCTCAGTGGTCTCATCACCAGGTCGAACATAAACATATTCGAACATGTCAATCTCTGGGAACTTAGAACCCCCTTGAAGAAAAAAACATTAAGAAAATTTTATTATTCAATAATAAAAAATAAAAAAATTGTATAAAATTTCAAAGTTAATATACTTTTACCTGACGTCGTGCCTCAAGCCTATACGAAAAGGGCATTGAACCGGAATGGTGGAGAAGTTTCTTTAACTCACGAGCTTTCTTGCCAGCAGCAGATTTCTTCTGTTAAACGCAAAATATACATGTTAGTGCGACTATTTGAAATAAATTAGTAAGAAAAAATAACTAAAACAATAATAAATTATTATTAAAATATTATGTACGTACCACAAATTTTGGGTCCATAAAATGTTTGCAAAGCCACTGCCAATCCTCCGGTCTGTCCTGCAACTCAATTGGAACATGTAGGCGAGCAATCTCTGGATCATCCCATTGCTTAAAATACGTTTGAAAATTATTCTTCCATTGTTAGTACCGGGTTGCTAAGGCCACCTCTAAGTAGGCCATGGCCTCGGGGAATATATCCTCAAGATCATAAATGACCTACGAATATGAAAAATAATAAAATAATAGTAAGAAATTTAATAATATTAAGATAATATATTTTGGTTTTTAATATTTGTAAACAAAATTAAAAAAATGATAAGGGCTAAAAATTAATATACTAACCGACAACTTGTGTCGCACCAGTTTCTTCATCTCCTCGAGAATTTCTACCCAAGAGTCCCACTGAAAAGGACAATTTTGTCGAATAACAACACCACAACTACTAACGACACTGCTATGCTGTTATGAGGTAGCCGCTCCACAATGTCGCGGGTCATATGCAATCTTGATCTTGGAGGCGGCCTGACGTACGCCTTGTGCCTGCTTCAGCATTCGACTAAGCCCCCTAGTGTTTTTTTTAGCTGGCCAAAATACTTAAATGGTGAAAACCTTAAGCTTAAATTGTACAAAAAATTTGACACAACCTCCCCTAATAGTATAGCATTTCCCAAAACCTTAAAACAGTAATTCACAACCCGTAACACATTTTCACAATGCAGCAAATTTTCACCATCATAAACATAATAGTTTTAAAATGAAAAAAAAAAATACAACGTAGTGAGAATTAGAAAAAACTACCTAGCTGGGAGGCCTCACCCTCGACTCTGGATGCCGAGGAAGTGTGATTAGAAGGCTCAGGCTCATGGCGGCGCCGGTGAGGCCACCGTGCACTAAGCGATTGAACCGACACTGATGACATCGATGAGACGGGCGGCTGGGTCGTCGTAGGAGTAGTCTCAGTAAGGGGTGTAGGCTCCCCAATCAATGGAGCACTCATGCCTGGAGCAGTAGATGCTGATAATGCAGGAGGCACATTGGTCACACTTCGACGATGAGTGTTCAACCGCGACATCTATACACTTTTTGAACCATAAAATTATAACATTAGAAATTAATCCTTTCTTGCATTTGAAACTAATCAATTAGCAGTCAAAGTAATAGCATATCCTTTCTTGCATTTGTTCACACACACACACACACACACACATATATATATATATATAAAACAATAGTGAAACGGTAGAAAGAATACTAATTCAATATGTCAACCATATTGTAAACCTAAACCAATGGGATTAGATGTTCCGTTTATGTGTATCTTGATTATTTTGGTCGCAATTGTGATGCGTTCTCTATATACCAAAGTGTGATATATTTTAGAACTTAGCTGCAGCATCTGTAAGTTGGTATCTTTTGAAGCAATTTGTAAAAGCTAGTGTTTAAAAGCCATTTCAGCATGCCAGCTTTTGTAAAATTGTAATTGCTACTACTATTATTAGGGTTAATTATAACAGTGGGGAATGTTTAAAAGGCATTCAGTTTCTATCAATTCAATGTCTAGTGAGAGAATCTTCATTGGTTTCCCTCACTCGAGTGCCTACTCTACGTACCTAGATTTCTCTTTGAGAATTTTAAATTATCTTTTACCGCTTCCGCTACATTATGGAATTAATTATTAAACGCGTGCCAACAGTAATATAGTAGAGAAAATACAAATGCATCTTCACTTATTGCTGTAACTTCAATTAACCATGTCCTAGTGACTAGTGTTAAATAGTACAGTAAATCACTCAATCATGAAGCAAACACATTCGAAGTGGACTCCTGAAGGGGATGTTTTGTCACATTACCTTCACAATAGGAGCGGCAAATGATGAAGGAATGAATGAAAATGCAATACTAACAATCACTGCAGCTGAGAATGCATCCAAATCCTGCAAAATAAACACAAGTAAATATGAAATTCACAGATCCTCTCCTCTGTGATTGAATTGAACCCTATCGAAAGAATCAGAGACTTTCACAAGCACAACTGCACCATGAATGGACACAAACTATACAATTTAGGTTTACCATATTTAACGTTGGAAAATCCAATTAGTGTTACATAATTCAAACTACAAATTATAACATATAGTTGATACAGAACCACTTCAATTTAGTCAGTTTCTTGATGCAGGCCACCTAAAAATCAAGCAAGCCAAACACTTTCAGGACAGCTCATTGCGTAAAATTTATGTAGAACAAAGCACAGAGGAATTAACAGAAAAACTTTCAATGATAAAATAGGAAATAGAGAAAATAAATAAGCACAAGAAATTGTAGCTGCAAACACTTTAAAGTATATTCATATATTCCAGGCTTGTGGCACCACCATTCGCAAATGCTCTCGTAGGGAGATTCCATCATGGACATTTTGTCATATTCATAAACTCAAACACTAAAGAACATTCTCCATGTAAGTTGTACCTGGGATGAAGATTTTTGCTGCCCCCTTCAAGGAACCTAAACTGTTACGTCTTTGGCCTGTCCAACTTAGCATGTATTAGATAAATTTGTCTTACATTAGCATTTATCAAGCAATTTAGAAAGAATAGATAACGGAATCACCTAATGCGGATTCATGACGATATAGGAAGATGTTATGCTTCTAAAACTTGATCAGCAATGAATAAGATGGTGACTTTACTCTAAGATATCTATACATATTGCAAGGTTTATAACTAAAAAAGCCAAAATATCTGAAGGCTCAACAAGTAATGAAAGGTGAGGTTTTCGAAAGAACATTCCTGATAAGTAGGCATAGTTTGTAAAAGTCAGACCACCCATGATACATGAGATGAAGAGGAAGTCAGTGAGAGAGATCCAATTATAAAACTGAAACCATCAACTGAAACCATACATGCAATAAGAAGATTTGGATGACAAACTCCAGTCGAAAACCAATCTAAGAGGAGATAAATAGCTAAAGTATGTCTATATAACTATAAAAGTTCCACACCACCAGCCATCTCCTCACATAAATAACACCAGAAAAATATATCAGTATGCCTATGCAAAAATAACACTACCCTTATGTCCATAAAACATTCGGTTTGGCCAGATACCACCTCAATAAACAATTAAACATAGTGGCTACAAACCAACAAAATTAACGAGAGAGAGCGAGGGAGAGAACAAGGAAAAGGCACAACATTCATCAAATTAACGCAGTACTATTGTTAATTCATGCATGTGCACAGACACGCTCTAGTAATATAGGCATTGAGTCAATCAGTGACTGTCACTACCAACCTCTAAAAAGGTGATCTTGAGTGAATTGGACAGGCGAATTCAATATCAGGGATCTTTGCCTAATAATCAAAATGAAGGAATCCAATATTAATACATGGGAAGAAAAAAAAACATTGGAGAAACATTATATTAAACAGAACATGAAACACAGCAATCCGATTGTAAATTTTAAGAAAACCCTAAATGGTGGCAACAAATCAATCATCAATCTACAAATGCAATTCAAATTTTAGGAAAACCCTAAATGGTGGCAGCATAACGATCATCAATCTACAAATTCTAATTTAAAAACCATAAAATCCCTACACCAGAAATTCACATTAATAACAAACCCCTAAATCAAAATTACCTAAATTTTAGAGGGATGATGGCTGGTAGCAGTGTCCTCGACGACAGTGATGGAATGATGGTGGTCGCAACGGCGGGGGTGTTGTCGAAGAGGAGAGAATTGACGGCGCAGGTGATGAAGTGATGGCTTGGGTTCTCTGGGATGTCATCGAGAAGGATGATGGATGGTGCCATTGTGTTGGTCGACAACGGTGATGGCTAGTGAGCACTGTGAGGACGAGGACGATTAAGAGTTGGAGAGTAAAGGGAAGGGAGTTGAGGGACTGAGAGTTTGAGAGTGATTCTGGAACTCGGGTGGAATTGGTTGAGGAGGATAGTCAGATGGAGTGGAGAAGGAATTGGGTTTGGGTTGGGAAGAGAGAGAGGATGAGGAGGAAAGTTGGCTGCAACAGGATGAGAGAGAGACCGAGTGAGAGAGATGAGAGAACGAAAGGCTTTTGCGCAAAGTGCCAACTTGGGAAAACTTGGGAAATTTTTTTAAAAAGGCGCCTATTTTTTACTATTGCACTGCCAAAATTATCACAAATGGCGCGACGCAGGTATACGTTTTGACGTCGCGCGATTTTTTTTATTTTTTTAAAAAAATATTATAAATTTTACTGAAAAATTTACTTAATAAATATATATACCATTGAACTTGATGGGATACGCATTGTACGAAACTAATTTCAACAATCCAACCGTCAAACTTGTTTGTATATATTCCGAGATCGCATACGTCAAAAATTGTAAAAAACAAACATCCAGAGATCAAGTAACGGGACAAAACTTTTCGACGGTTATAAATAAAAAATCACGATTTAAAAGTTATTTTAACTCTGATTTTGATGATTTTTTACAATTACACTCTACCCTATATGAATACAATGAGCTAATTTGATTGTCAATTTAAAATATTTACACAAATGGATACCACAAAATGTTATGTTAAACTTAATGATAGTATAAATAAACTCTAAGTGCTAGGGAATCTATCGTTTTGATAGGATACGCATTGTACGAAACTAATTTCAACGATCCAACCGTCAAACTTGTTTGTATATGTTTCGAGATCGCATACGCCAAAAATTGCAAAAAACAAACATCCAGAAATTAAGTAACGGGACAAAACTTTTTGACGGTTATAAATGAAAAATCACAATTTAACGGTTATTTTAACTCTGATTTTGATGATTTTTTACAGCTACACTCCTTGACCCTATATGAATACAACGAACTAATTCGATCGTTAATTTAAAATATTTACACAAGTGGATACCACAAAAATGTTATGTTAAACTTAATGATAGTATAAATAAACTCAACTATTAGGGATCTATCGTTTTGATGAGATACGCATTGTACAAAACTAATTTCAACGATCCAACCGTCAAACTTGTTTGTATATGTTCCGAGATCATATACTCCAAAAATTGCAAAAAAACAAATATCTAGAGATCAAGTAACGGGACAAAACTTTTCGACGGTTATAAACGAAAAATCACGATTTAACAGTTATTTTAACTCTGATTTTGATGATTTTTTACAGCTACACTCCTTGACTCTATATGAATACAACGAACTGATTTGATCATCAATTTAAAATATTTACACAAGTAGATACCACAAAATGTTATGTTAAACTTAATCTCTATTAATTAGTAAAACACTCATTGTCAACCAAAATCCTATGAAATTACCATTTTAACCCTCTAATTAAAACATAACATGAATAAGAAATATGAAGCAGAAATGTAATTTCACATAACCAAATTTTGCTGTTTTGTTTTTAAAAGCCTCACCTACATGCAAGATTCTAAAAAATGCTAGGCGCTAGTCGGGCGGTGGGCTAGCACCTAGCGCCTAGATGGCTAGGCGGGGTCTAGGTGGGCGCCTAGGTGGCCTAGGCAGATTTAGGTAAATTTCTTATATATTTTGTAAATAAATGCATACTGACATTTACAAAAAAATATTCTTGTATATCTTGGAATAAATATATTATATACCATATAAATTAGTTAAATTTATTTTATAGTAGATGATTAAATATTGAGGAATACATTATTTAAAAAAAATATACATATCTAACCATAAGAGTATAATATAAGATGATCTTATTTTGATCATAAAAAGAAAAATAATATAATGCAAGAGTGTAATATGGTGTTGTTTTAAAAAGAAAAATAATAAAATATTATCTAAATATTTTATATAATTTATTTATTAGGGGATAGTGGGTAATTATTGTTTACCGCTTTATTTTGTGATAAGGCAGAGGCTGGTGGACTTCACCATGCCAAACTAAGCATCTTTTCAGAGTCGGACTTTTCCATTTTCCCAAGTTTCCCTGCTGCCCATTCTATCTCTCCGCTCCATCTTCTTCTTCTTCATCTTTTCAAACTTTTCTCCTTTACCTCATCTTCTCTGTTTCTATCCCTCCATTTTCTTCTTTCCTGAAAACCCACAAATCAAACATCGAAAATTTCTCCCTCAATCCCTTCATCTCTCCACCACACATCTCCCTCTATCACCACCACACTTCTCCGTTTTCATGCACAAAAGTCTGGGGTTTGCAATACCGGTCAAATCTAAGATGCAGGACGACGAGAGACATCTAGATGTTATGGGTTTGCAATTTGCACATACACAGAGCAGAGAGACGAGGAACCGCTTACCATGCCGCCTAGCACCGCCTAACACCGCCTAGCACCACCTAGTCGGCCTCCTAAACCCTCTCCGTTTTATTGAAAACGGTTTGCCCAAAATTGCCACGGAAGCCCACCGCCCACCGCCTAGGCCAATTTTTAGAACATTGCCTACATGTAATCCTAATATATTTCTAATTAAAAAAATAAAATAAAAAAAACTTCCCACTCCCACATTCTCTATCGCTCTCTTCCTCTCTCCTTCTATTTCAAAAACAAAAATAAAAAAATTTCTCACACACTTTGTGTGTGCCCATATGATAGTGATAGTATAAATAAACTCTCAGTGTTAGGGAATCTATCGTTTTGATGGGATACGCATTGTACGAAACTAATTTCAATGATTCAACCATCAAACTTGTTTGTATATGTTCCGAGATCACATACGTCAAAAATTGCAAAAAACGAACATCTAGAGATCAAATAATGGGACAACACTTTTCGACTGTTATAAACGAAAAATCACGATTTAGCAATAATTTTAATGTCGATTTTAATGATTTTTTACAACTACACTCCTTTATCCTATATGAATACAATGAACTAAATCAATTGTCAATTTAAAATATTTACAAACGTGGCCCACAAAAAGCCTTTGTGCGACGCAGTTTGTTCGTCACACAAACACCCTTTGCGTGACGCATTGTTGATGCGCCGCGTAAATAGTTTTTGCGTGACGCATTGGTTGGTGTGTCGCGCAAAGTATGTTTGTGCAATGACCCCACTGTCACATCGCGCAAGTTATATATATAGTTTTAATTTTTTTGACAATTCTAGGTACATCTAGGAGGCATATACCACCTTGATTGCCTTCGTTATTTGGTATCAATTTTTTTTCACTTTGTCATTTTTTTTCTTAAGAAATTGATGGTTTAATTAGCACCTTGAATCTTGATAATGTTTGTTATTATTTTGTTTTCTTTAATAACAAGATGAGGAAGGCTGGTTTAGGTGAATGTAAATATTAAATGGATCTCAATAAAATTCACAACATTTTAATTTAAAAACTGCATTAAATCATAATTTAAACTTCATAATTCCCCTATAGACAAATTACAGTACATTATGAAAAAACTGTGATGAAGAAAATACTCGTGACACCGACAGAGATTAACGGACAGGAACTCGACTGCTTCATGTTCTGCAGAGGAATTAGGCTCTCGTTCATGACAACAGTCAGTAAAGTTAAAACAGGTTTCCGGCATTAGCAGAAAGTGAGAAGGAAACCGGCATAATGGACGAAATTTCCGATTCACTCGTGTTCAGAAAGTAGTATGAAAAACTCCTTGTCTGTAATTGCTCCCATCTCCATCGCTCTTTCTAATGCACTTTGCCCTCGCCCATCTTCAATTGACGGGCGTGGACCCCTGCATCACAAGTTTTCGTCTAAGAATTAGACAAAAGGATGAATTTGTTTCTGTCAAGCACAGTTTTCAACCCCAAATAGGTAATTACAGCAGACAGTCGACGGTAATAGCATAA